CTTCTTCTTCTTCTTCTTCTTCTTCTTCTTCTTCTTCTTCTTCTTCTAAACAACTGTTAGATTAAGTATGTTTGGGCAAAGAAAGGAGGTGGGTGGGGTTGAGTCACAACCTAAGCTACTGTTCCAAAGCATTCTGACTAGCTTATCATATCCTCAAATCTGTTTAAGCTTGTTTTTAAAAAATTTTGACTAATAGCTGTTGTTTTTTTTATCATCTACATTTTCCAATATATCCCTCTCCTGCCCAGAGAGCCATATATTAAAGCAGAGATTAAAAAAGAAAAAAAATATATCAGCAAAATGAATCATTGCAAAAAGGTTGACATTATCCATAGTGTTCCATATTTGTAGCCTACCATCTCTTCAAAGACATGCCTTCTCATATTTCTTCTTTGGGGTCAAACTTGGTCATTATAATTTCATATTTTTTATATAATTTCATTGTTGTTTATTTCAGTCATGTTCAACTCTTTGTGACTCCATTTGGGATTTTCTTGGCAAAGATAATGGAGTAATTTGCCATTTCCTTCTCCAGCTCATTTACAGACAAGAAAACTGAGGCAAATAGGGTTAAGTGACTTCCCCAAGGTCCCATAGCTAGGAAGTGTCTGAGGACAAATCTGAACTCATGATGATGAGTCTTCCTGACTCCAGGCCCAGCTCTATGCACTGTGCTACCTACCTGCAATTTCATAGCATTCAGGTTATGTTATAGTCTATATCTATATATCTGTGTCTATCTATAGCTATAGATAGAGATAAATACCTATCTCTATCTTTATGTTGTTTAGCTCATTCTACTTATTTTGTATCAGTTCACATAATTCTTCCCATGTTTTTCTATTTTTTATCACATTAATCATATCTTATAGTCTAGTAATATTCCATTATAGCCACATACCACAATTTGTTTATCCATTCCGCAATCAATGGACATCTACTTTGTCTCCAACTCTTTGCTATTACAAAACAATGCTACTATAAAGATTTTTGGGGCATGTGAGGTTTTTCTTTTTGTCATTGACATCATTGGAGTATATATATATATATATATATATGTATATCTATATAACAAAGGGTATAGCATTTTGTTTGGAACTTTTAGGACATTTATTATTAGTTAGCACCCATGAATGAGGAAGCCAGGACAGCCTATTAATAGGAAACTTCTGGCCAAGATGTCTGTCTGTCTACCTGTCTATCTATTTATCTATCTATCATCTATCTATCTATTGATCCATCTATTGATCTATCTTTTATCTATCTGCTCATTTATTTATTTAGTACCCCTCACATTTCAGTCTGTTTGATCTCAAGCTTCTCCTTGATTTCACTAGAATTGGCCCACCCAGGGACCATAACCATGTGCTTTGCATCCATTTATCCATTCAATCATCTATACATTTGTTCATTCATTCAACAAGTATTTATTATGGAGCTACTATGTGCCAGGTACTATGTTAGATGCTGAGGACACAAATATATAAGGGAAAATTTCTTGCCTTCAAGATTTCAGAGAGGAAATGATGAGGGTTTAAACAAGGACAGTGGCTAACACTGGTGGCTTTGGAGTAAGGGCTGGGTGACTCTTTATGGGGATGGTGTAGGGAGGATTTCAGTTCTGGGATAGATAAGACAAAGTGACCTTGGAGTTCCTTTTCAACTTGGAAATTCTGTGATTCTATCAAGTCAGACCCTTTCAAAATGAACTATAGTTTTACTTTTTAATTGACTTACTCAGTGACCTATCCATGGATCTACAGTGTGTGGATGTATTATTTATCATTTGTTATCATGGAAAAAAATAACATATTGAACAGAGAGTACTCCTCAGAGTCAGGAAGATCTGGGTTCAAATCCTACTCTGCCACATACTAGCTGTGTAACTCCAAGTAGTTCATGTACCCTCCCAATACTGCTGCCAATTCTCTAGGATAAAGTTGTGTGAAAGTTTGTCACTTGGATTGATGATAGATGGAATTTCATCACCAGGAATGCCCAAGCTAGGGGTAGGGAACCTGCGACCTCAAGGCCCCATGTGACCCGCTAGGTTCTCAAGTGTGGCCCGTTGACTGAAGGATGTATTAAATCCTTAATAAAAGGATTTGTTCTGTAAAACTTGGACTTAGTCAAAAGAACACGCCCAAGGACCTAGAAGGCCACAATGAAGTCACAGGTCAATATGAAGCAAAAAAAAATCACTTTAGCATACATCACTAAAAAACAATTTTATATGGATTCTGTTCAGTTGTGGCACAATGGAAAGAACACTCATCCTGGAGTTATGGGACCTGAGTTTGAATTCTGTCTCTGCTCCTCATTACCTTGGTGACCTTGGGCAAATCACTTCACATCCCTGGCCTCAGATCCCTTATATGAAAAAACCAGGAGATTGAGATAGATGGTCCCTGAGCTCTAATCTCTGCTCTTATAACTTATAATCAGTCTTTATTGCTAACTCAGGAAAAATAATCCGACCTCAGTGAAGGGCTTATTGAGATCTGGCCACTGACATTTCTGCTGACAATCAGCATGATGGGCTGAAGGTCAGGCACTGGGGCCACTAATTAACCTCTGGAGTAAATTCCCACCCACTGGGTCCTTCTCAGGGAAAAGAAAGACCATTTGTATCCAGAATAAAGGAAAGTGAAAGGGAAAAACTGCAGACCTGGGCAATGAAAAGGAGTGATGAGCAGCAATAGCTGAGCTTGGTGCAATGTGCGCACCAGACCCTAATGACTTCCGACATGTCTCTACATTAGTGAGTTGGGGAAAGTGGGCTGGGGTTGGATGTCAAGGTTTCAAATTGCCATTAGCAGTGAAAGTCATGGAGCCAATGTTTTTAGCTCGAGTGATGGGAGGGCTGTACTTTATCAGCAGAGTTGGTGTGTGTGTGTGTGTGTGTGTGTGTGTGTGTGTGTGTGTGTGTATGTGTGTGTGTGTGTGTGTGTTAGAGAAGTGAGGGAATAGAACAAATATGTTTTGGTGAAATGCAATTAGATTATTTAATCAATTAAGCTGATATTTAAGCTAATAAGTATTTATTAATTGCTTACTAAGTTCAAGGCATGAGTTCTGGGGATACAAAGAAAATATAAAATCTATAACTATTATAAACATTGTCCAGGGCAGCTGAAACCAAAAGAAGATATTCTAGCATTTCGGATGGGAAGCTGGAGGGGATCTTAGAGATCAAATGACCCAGCCCCCTTGTTTCACAGGTAAGGTTTAGAGAAGTGGATTGACTTGTCCCAGGTCACACATTTTTCCAAGAGGTGGGGTTGGGATTTGGACTCAGATTTTCTTCTTCTCAATCTCATGTTTTTTCTACACTTGCTGTTGTAGTGTTGGCAGATAGCCCCTGTTTCCAGGTTGTTTGTGTCTTTTCTCCAAAACATAAACTTTCTGATTAGAGATCCACTTAGAGGAGTCCTCATGGTTCTGGGGGCCAAGGATAGGAGTGAAAAGTAAAAACTTCTCTGTTTTATCTCTGTCCTAACCCTGACTTTGTCTGAGGAAGCTATTTGACTTGTCTGCTAAATGAGGAATGAATGCCTGATCAAATAGCCTCCAGGCGATTATTGTATTCACGAATGAAGAAAAATGAATTACTTTCCTTCAGTAGTTAATTCTCCCTTAATTTGGGTCTAGTTCAGGGCTGGAGAATCTGTGGCCTTGAGGCCACATGTGGCCCTCTAGGTCCTCAAGTGCAGCCTTTTGACCAAATCCAAACTCATTGAAGGACTGCACTTGAGGACCTAGAGGGCCACAAATGACCTTGAGGCCACAGGTTCCCACCCCTGGTCTAGTTATACAGGGTCATAATTATATTGACCCTCCAATATTTCCCTGGAGTTCACTTTTTTTTTTACAGAATCTGGGAATTGGAAGGGATTCTCAAGTTCATCTAGAGCCAGACCGTAGCTATACCTCTGACCTTTGGAACATTGACAATATCCAGTCTGGAGGAGGAGTCCACCACCTCATAAGGAAACCTACTCATTTAGGGATGGTTATTTCACACTGTTGCTTCATTTTGACCTTGTAGTCTTTGAAAATCCCCATGTGTTTCACTGGAACTTTTACTTACCAATGTCTCCATCACTTTTTTTTTTAAGTGAGGCAATCAGGGTTAAGTGACTTGCCCAAAGTCACACAGCTAGTACATGTCAAGTGTTTGGTCTGAGGCTGGATCCATCACTCTTTACTTGTAGAGTTGATTATTTGAACCCAACTGATAGACTTTATATTTATCCCAGTAAATGCCATCTTTTTGGTCTCATCCCCTTGTTTTATCATTTCAAGGTCTTTTTGGAACTTGATTCTCACATCTAAGGCATTCACCCTCCTCAGCAACTTTGATAAGCATGCAGCTATGCCCTTATCCAAGTCACTGATAAAAAGCAACAGAGATTCTTTTGGTTTACTCATTAAGCTAAATCAGAAACCATGTGACTATTCTGCTGTATCTTCCAGCCCCTTTCTTATCTTCTTTTCCACAAAGATGGCATGAAAGAACTTTTCAAATTCTCTGTTGAAATCCAGCTATACTATGCTTCTGCTAATCCCTTGGTAGACCAGTCTAGTGTAGCTTTAAAAAAAAAATCAAATTAGACTGACCTCATCTGTTCTTGATCAGATCATCTTTGAGATGATTGCTTCTCTTTCTAAGTGCTTTCAAATCATCTTTTTAATAATGCATACCAGAATTGTTACAAAAATAAAAGCTAATTTGACCTTCCCATTTACCTCAGACTTTTTCCTTCTTTTGAAAATCAGGA